GAACAAGTGATGGTTTCTCGATCCACTTGAACTCCTTGCTGTGCCATTTATCCTCTCAGTGACAGTAGGTGTGTGAGCATTTATTTTGTAGATGGTAACCTAGTTTGAGTTCATAGGTGAAGTGTTTCAGTGGTGAATGAAGCTTGTGAAGTTTTGTGTATCACCACGTTGGTTTCAGTCATCTTCAAACTGCAGATCTAAAGGACAGTGAGAGAAAGAGAAACGTGGGTCATTCTATCACTATGTTGTGTTTGCATCTAATATATCAGTGTTGATGGATGCCAAATGAGGAGGTGAGTGTTTTGTGCTGTGACCTTTAGTGTTGTGGAGAATTTGGCTACTTTAGTTGGAACACTTGTGAGTGTTGTTGGCCAGGTGATGGCAATAACAATGTGGGGTGGTGATTCAGCCTTGTTGTGATCATTGTGTGGCCATAGCTCTCCATTTTTGGTTGGTCACTAGCATGCTTGCTTTACTGAACTTTGGAGATTAAAGTAACTTGTTGTGGTATGTGACCACCTGTGTGGTGGAGACAACAGATCACTTGGTTGTGGTTATTATCTTTTGTGTTAGACTGATATTACCTGAAGTGCTTTAATACTGTGCCTTATATTAATCTCATATTAATCAAAATGCCATATAATCATATATTGTAGTACTAAGTGGACACAGCCCAGAACAATAAAGGCATTAGAATACATGTCCTTCAGTTGTAGACTCCCGCCCACGTTTGCCTGCAGAACAGTAGATAACAGGGAACTATCTTCTAGTGGAAACTTGGTGAAATGCTGTTGTTTAGACTAGAATGGGGTGCCCGGTATTAAAACTGTCAAGTTTGCGTCACCATTTTGAGATCTGCAGCAATGTGTTATGCAGGACGCATCTCCCTTCTAGAAGTGATTGTGTAAGAGAATAGTGTGAAATGGTCTACTGAGCAGTGTGTGTGTGTTGTCTTCCATTGGATGAGGAATCAGAAGAATGCAGTGAAGTGTTTATATTTAACAGCTGATACTTTTGTTTTGTGTTGTAGCAGGTCAAGTAATCATTTTGGGTTTGACTGTTGTCCTCCTTTGTGTTGGGTCATATTAGTTTTTGTACGTTCAGTGTGGCAACTTCAAATCCTCATGCAGGGGCATCCATGCTTAAAGATGCGAACTATAGTAATGTGAACGCTGAGCTTCTGCTAGCTTTTACTTTTCTTTCAGGTTTGGGGATCAATGACCAGAAAGCTTCAGAGTGGGTTTTAATTTATTTTAGGGGTCCTAGAAGAACCTTTTTGAGGGAGGTGGTGTAACACCCATCTGCAACCCTAATCTCCTCAGTGTGTTCAGCTGGTGCTAACTGGCCCCACCTAGTCAGGTGTTGATAAAAGCATACCTGAGACAGGCTTTCCAGAAGGCTCACTAGTCTTTGCTTTGGTGGCTCAGCAGTTTTAGCCAACCTACTATGCCATTTTAAGATAAAACCTCTTATTACTAAAACTCTGGTATTTGTCTCCTTTTTTTATGTTGCGACTTTTGAGTCATAGCAGCCATACTTGTCTGAAAACCCTTTAGAAAATTGGTCATTAGTTTATTTAAATTGATAATACTACTTTTCCCCAAATCTGGTTGAAAGGGGCATGCCCTGGAGCCGGGAGAAGGGATCATCTGCAAAAACCTGAAGACATGCTTTAAGACTTGAGACTAAAACAAAACAA